GCTTCATACACCTCTGTGTGAGTGTGTGTGTTTTATTTACTTATTTTTAAAGTACAGATTTAAATACTGTTTAGGAACCGGTACCGTTTTGAAATTATCAATTTAGCACCGGTATCGAAATAAACCCTTTCAATACCCAACCTTACAGTGACCTACGCGACCCTGAAAGGAAGAGGCGTGTACAGAAAATGGATGTATTCATCCATCAGACTTATGTCTGATATTCCAGAGTTTTAAACTAGGATTATCTTATGATGAACAGGGAAAAAGTTATAGCTGTTTTGGTTGGAGTCTCAGCTACTACTAAACTAAGTGCTTAGTTTATCAAGACAGCAGATAATGAGTGAATTAAAAAAATGTCTGTGGTAAAAGTTGTCATGTTGCATGGGATTGATTGATTGATTGATAATTCCTTTATTGTCATTGTACGGAGAACAATGAAATTAGCCTCAACATGGCCCAAATGGCTCCTGACACTTTCTGATTTTCACAAGTCAGATATTCACCACGTTCAAYGTGCAGAAATCCTTCTATCAATAAATCCAAATATGCTGACATCTTCAACATCCTCATCCGACGATACAAACAGGAATGTTATCTTCCACTCACCCCAGGAATCCATAACATGCCCGGCAGCATAATGTCCCATCAGGACAAGAGGGCTCTCCTTCGCCCAGTCTCACCGTGGAGAAAATTTGATCAATAGTGTTAAGAGACCAGCTGACCCGATCCATAATTTCCAATTCTGGAAGATATGCAAAACAGCAGCAAAGCAGGATAAATAAGAGAAGATTGAAGAGAGARCGGAAAAAGTGTCTGCCTTTGCCGAGAGCAGGAAAAAAAGCTTAATAATTAGCCTAATATCTATAAAATAAGGAGCCATAATCATCAGTGAGTTTATTCATTTGTGGCCCTTTTGCAACATAAGCTGTGACGGCCGGCCATGTTGAGGAACTGTGGCTCAGTGGTTAGAGCAGACCAGAGTCAGAGGTTTCAGAAATGACCCCTAGGTGAAATATTAAGACCCTGCATTGCCTCCCAAGTGCACCAATTTACTCAGCTTGGTTTAGTGGAACCAGTTTGGTTAACCCTTTAACAGTCACCCCTGAAATTCCTTTAAACGCTTGTCAACATTTTTTTATTTTTATTTTTTGTAAGGGTGTCAAACTAAAGGTAAGAACTGGGGGATGTTCTCTCATACCCTAGTTTTCAAAATAAAATCCCCCGGTGGCGTCTGGAAACGTTTAAAGGTAAAAACCGCACCATTTTTGCCCACGTACAAAGATTGTTAAGAAATTATAAAAATTCAAGGAGCGCGTAAAAAGTACTTTTATTTTTACAATTTTATGACTTTTACATAAGTACTTTCCTCATTTGTGAAATTTAGTTTTACCAAAGTCATTTTCTGTTAAGATATTTTACTTTTTCGTCGTTATTTTTTAAGTACTTTAAAGACGTCTGTTGAGGAGGGGTCTGGTTGGCTCTATATGCTGTGAATACAGTCCATTTATCATTTATATGGGATTGACTCCAGAGGTTAATCAGTTGTAGATGAGCGGTCAGTGATTACTAACAGAGTCATTAACATTTAGAGTGATTCATGAGATATTTTGCTAATATAATGTTACAGAAGAGTGGGTGGCGGGTGATGCTCAGCAAAGGAAAGCGAATTCAAAATTCCCAGATTTCTTAAATCAGGTGTGTCCAAACATTTCGTCACATGGGCCAAAATCATAAAGTCAGAAGGACTTTAGGRMCAAAAATATTTTTCCTTTACCTGCTCAACAATAAACTTAGCATTGATTACTTTAATTTAACAAATAAAGTAGTCAGATTTATAGCTGGAAATGGATGCATAAATTAATCTAGATTTGGAACTTTAAAAGTGTTTTGCAGGTTTCACTTATTGAAACTTTTTTTGCAACTTTCTAGGTTTCAATTGGGGGGAAAAAGTAAAACCACTTTAATCAATTCTGATCAATAAAATCAGGGTTTAGGGCACTCTTTCATTGAAAATGCTTGCTGTATTCAGACAAATTTAATAAATTGATGAAAAGCAGATTGGAGTGCAGCAAAATCAGATTTTCAGTAGAAATCACTAGATAGATGCGGAAAAAGCTAAGCGTCTTAAAGACAAATAATTGGTATTGTTGCCAATATTTTTATTATAAGATTTTACTTTGTGATAGATTTGCCCTAATAATAAATAGAAAGTCTCATCTGGATCAAACAGCTGTGTGGGGTGGGGG